TAGAGATAGACACGACCAGATATAAGACACGAGAAGCCAAGCAGGAAAGATAAGGGAGGGAGAGGGAGAGAGATGCGTCCACCTCCATCAGAGCCAAAGCAAGCAAACAGAATCTATTGTCTATTAAAGACAAAAACACTGACATTTTTAAAAAAATTAACAACAATAATTTCATACTGAAGATAAAATCTTAGCATTTACCCAGTTATATTTCATCATCTGGAGTGCCTACAAGTAGATCATAATGTTTCTTCAACATCTTAAGCTCTGTTGAAACATCTGAAAAACAAAACTGTTTTTGAATTGTTTCCTCCCAGAGTGACACACATACGTAAATGTGTGGCTAAATGAGTAATGAATAAATTTTAAAAAAAGATAAATAGACACCCTTATTGTTATCAGCAGCAAGATTGCAAAGATAAAGAGGAAAGGCAAACAATTTGAACCAATGTAATTACATCAAACTGTTTACCTGGGAGTAAGCACTCTTCATCCTTGAATGAAAGTCCAATAGATTCTTTCATAGTTTTCTCCAGAGTCTCCAAGACGTATACCTAATTTAAAAATGTAAAGTTTTTCCTCACTTACCACAGACTAAGATATTATGTTAAAGTTGTATTTAGAAGTTTCTCAGACTGGATTAAAAATATAAATGGAAACGTACATTTCTGTATAAGTCTATTCCAGTTAAATACAGAAAAAGCCTTCAGGTGAGTTATGAGAAAATATGTTCATCATAATTCTTCATAAAACATGACAAACCACCAAATCGTGCAACTTCTCCAACATGGTATTTTTTGCCTGCTCAAACATGTCCTTCTTTGAGTGCACGTGGTTTTTAATAGTCTCCCTCATGTTGTACAGCGTGCCTTCTCCTGTAAATGCTAAAGCCTCTACAAAAAGACAGAAAACTCTTCAGACTTTTTATGCTGAATAATAACAAACATAAATATCGGTTTAAGTGATAAGTTGTAAAGCTCTGATCTTATTTCTTACTCTTGTAGCCTTCTTCCATAATGTTCTCAACTGTCTCTGTCAGACTGCTGTAGACAATTTTCTTCTGCTTCTGGATGATTCTGTTTAATTTTGCCTTAATCTTTTCTTCCTGAGAGAAAAACATGAAGTATAGATGAACTTTACTTATTGTTTATCAATGGGCTAATGTATAAGAAAGTCTCATCTCTTACCTCTGTCTTGAGGAATCTGAGCTGTAGTTCAGCATTTTTGTACTTTTCAATCAGAGAATCAGTGTTAAGTG